TTCCGTCACCGCGCGCGCATTCAGCCAGTCTCATAGGAAAGCATTATTAATGCTTTCCTATGGACGCTGGCGTCTTCTCACTGTGAAAATCACAGTGAGAAGCGCGGAAGCCCTCTAGCGGCTGTCAATGAGACAGCCTCTAGAGGCTAGATTAACCCATAGGTAAACATAGCAGTTTCTCTGAAACTGCTATGTATACAGAAAAAAAGGGTTAATCCTAGCTGGACCTGGCACCCAGACCACTTCATTAAGCGGAAGTGGTCTGGGTGCCTATAGTGGTCCTTTAATGTCTAAACTGTTGGAAACAAAAGTTAGTACACCCTTAAGTGGAAATGTCCAAATTGGGCCCAATTAGCCATTTCCCTCCCCGGTGTCATTTGACTTGTTAGTGATACAAGGTCTCAGGTGTGAATAGGGAACAGGTGTGTTAAATTTGGTGTTATCACTCTCACACTCTCTCATATTGATCACTGGAAGTTTAACATGGCACCTCATGGCACCTGAGGATCTGATAAAAAGAATTGTTGCTGTACATAAAGATGGCCTAGGCTATAAGAAGATTGCCAAGACCCTGAAACTGAGCTGCAGTACGGTGGGAAAGACCATACTGCGGTTTCCCAGGACAGGTTCCACTCACAACAGGCCTCGCTATGGTTGACCAAAGAAGTTGAGTGCACATGCTCAGCATCATATCCAGAGGTTGTCTTTGGGAAATAGACATATGGGTGCTGCCAGCATTGCTGTAGAGGTTGAAGGGGCGGAAGATCAGCCTGTCAGTGCTCAAACCATACCAAGATAAACGTATTTGGTTCAGATGGTGTCTTGCGTGAACTGAAAAACAGGTTATACATATAGCACATGAGAAACCTTGTAGGGGCTCGATCCATCTCTGGCTAGTTATATATAGATGTGCTAATAGGGGGTGTGTACTTTGGGATTCGAGTACTTCAAGCTAAATGTACATGAGAGTATAAACCGAGCTGGCATTTGGGCAAGATAACTGTGTAGGCTAATGTAATGGCTGGCTGGCTCTCCCCGTCCCTGCAGAGCAGTCCTAGGCCACAGTAAGACAAGGTATACTAAGGTTGGCCAGACAACAGTAAGGTGAACCTAAGTGGGGGACAAGAGTATAGCTTACTCATCGCTTCTAGGTCCATTATTTTGGCAGTCCAACGACCCACATATAGAGGCAAATCCAAGTCCAAGAGTCTGAAATGGCTGCCGGCAGTGAGTTTGAGGTTGAGGTAATATGTCTCCCCACAGTCATCAGTGCAGCAGCGGCAGACGTGTACTTGAACGAGGAGTGTGACTGATCATTAGGAAGTTACTGTATACTATCCCTGCTGTCCGGCGTGTTTAGTGGAGGGAGCTCAGGGTTCTGGTTCCCCAGTCAGCCGATACCTCTGCTGGAATTCCTCGTAGGCGGCACCTGGGGGTAAAGGTTAGTGGAACGAATGCACATGTGGCAGAGGGTCTCTCCCCCGCTCCAGGCCTTGTTAACGTCAGCATCCCTGGGCCACAGACTCGGGTGCTCTGGGAGGCTGGGTCTCTTCCTCTGCCAGCGGCGTGTGGCCCTCTGGTGTTGTGACCTGTGCCTTGGAGGGGTTTGGCCTAGATGGGCTCGTGCCGCTGGGTACTTGCTGTGTCGCTTCACCCATCGAGGGCCTGTTCCACCCCTCGCTTTCGCTCCCCTCCGCATCTCTGCGGTAGTTGGGTTGCACGCCGTTCCAGTGTCTCCCATAAGTGCTGAAATAAGACGTCTAGCCGCTCCTACAAGGGCTGATAGGGCACCAGCTTGGAAGCGTGGTCCTGCACCACCATCTTGCAAACGGGTAGGCCACCTGAAGTCATCAGTGTTTATAGCATCTTGTAAGCCAGATCGGTGTGGACCGGGATAACCCCCGCAGGTCCATAGGGGGGGAACATGGGCTCTGCGGGATGTCAGCCGAGTGTGGAGGTGGTGGGAGAGCGGCCATCTCTCCCGAGCCTCCAGTGCGTGTAGGCCACATATGATGACTGAGTGGGATATCCACTTATGTGGCATCGATGTGAAAGTTTCAGGTTCTCCTGACAAATGTCAGCTCGTGTTTACCCGGTTTAGGTGGCTGTGCAGATAAATGTGGTTTCAATTCTCGTTTGTGGCAGGAGCTGATGCTGCCTGTGTCCGCTCAGCTCAGCGGCCAGGCCCGCCCCCTATATTTTTATTTTTTATCTTGCATACCAGGATCTTCTGGAACTTTTGGGAATAAGCGAGAATTGTGGATTAATTGAATAACTTTCAGAGACTATTCATAAAGCAACTGCTTTTCAAAAGACTTACAATTTTTTGTTACTAATGTGATACATTGGAATATTGTAACATTGATTTTATACAGCCTTAGATGACTGTTCATGCAAAGAGAATAGGGTGAATTTATTGTTTATTGCATTTATTGCTTGTAATAGGTTAATAGGTTACCTATTTGCCCACCCCTTTTTCTCTCAGTTTTTTTTTTTTTTACTTAAAATGTTTTATTGTTTTTTTTTAACCCCTTAAGGACCAAACTTCTGGAATAAAAGGGAATCATGACATGTCACGCATGTCGTGTCCTTAAGGGGTTAAACATATAAATATGTAGGAATAATATTCTATTACATATATTCAAGTGTAGTCTACTCGATTAAGATACATATTTAAACACAAAAAATATAAACAAATGAATCTAATAATATTAATGTTTAAATTACTATCATTCTTAAGAGAAGTTATTAAACATGAATTGAGAGCTTGTACTTGTCTAAAAGACAAACAAAAATACATAAATAAATTATAAAACATACATAGTAATTATACACAAAAAGGTACAAATATTGTACCTCAGAGGAACTGAGACATATGTGAAGGGCATGGGGTACTCTCCAATCCCAAAAGCAGTATTTTATAATCAAAGCTAACTCAAAATACAAATTTTTCATAGGGGACCAAACTGCAGGGCATAATAGCAGATGATATTATGTATCAATGTCAGGAAATTTATATGAAGTAGGAGCAAATTTCATTCTTTAGAATATGTAAATAGAGTTGAGCGAACCCCAACGGAAAAGTTCGGGTTCGTACCGAACTTTAAGTTTTTTGGACCCCGAACACGGACATATTACTGTATGTTTGGGTTGGAGTTCGGTGTTCGGCGATTTAATGACTCATTTTGAAAGGCCACAGGGCAGCCAATCAACAAGCGTTTGACTCGTGTACCCTTAGAAGCCATCACAGCCATGCCTACTAATGGCATGGCTGTGATTGGCCAGTGCAGCATGTGACCCAGCTAGTAGGGGCATGTCTATTAAACAGTTAAACCCCCTCCTCTTGAGCCCCCACCCGTGATGCGCAAGTGGGGGCTTTTAAACTAAAGGGGGGACCTATTGCCCTGCCGACCCCCACCCCTGAGCTGCAGGTGGGGGCCCTAAATAAAAATTGGGGAGAAGAAAGAAGACATGAAATGGTAAGTCTATTTTTTTTTTTTTTTTACAGGTATTTAGACAAGGGTCCCCCCTCATTATTTTAAGGATGAGGGGGGTAGGTATGGGTACTTTTTTGGGGGACAGGGGGGTAAATAGGGGTTTGGGGACCCCTAGTCACCTGGGGGGAATTTTTATTTATGGCCCCCACCCACTGCTCAGGGGTGGGGGCCGGGGAGGACATTAGGACCCCACCCCCTTATTGTTATTTAGGGCCCCCACCCACCGCGCAGGGGTGGGGGCCGGGGGGAGGACATTAGGTCCTCCTCCTAATTGTTATTTATGGCCCCCACCCACCGCTCAGGGGTGGGGGATGGGGCAGAGGACAGTAGGTCCTCTCCCCAAATTCTTATTTATGGCCCCCACCCACCGCGCAGGTGAGCAGCCACTACCCTACTCACGGTATAGCGAGTAGGGGCTGAATTTACTAATACTAAGTAATCTTTACTTAGTATTAGTAAATGTGGCTGAAAGACCAATTTAGGTGACCAATTTAGGTCTTTCAGCCTTTTGATAGATAGCTCCCTAATACCGTGTGATTATTTTATGTCATTTTATGTTATTTTTAAGTGATTTCCCTATCCACATTTGTTTGCAGGGCACTTATCCTACTCTTACCCCCATTTTACTTCTTTTGACAGCCCTCTAGCCCTTTCCAGGAGTTTTCTAGAGCCATTTTTGTGCCCAAAAGTTCGGGTCCCCATTTACTTCAATGGTATTGGGGTTCGGGGTCAAGTTCGAGCCCAAACCCGGACCTTTTTTCAAAGTTCATCCGAAACCACCAGACCTGAACATCCAGGTGTCTGCTCAACTCTATATGTAAACCATACCTCCCAAATCTTATTATATTTTGTTATGTTACCATCATTATAATATACTGCTTTTTCCATTACTCCTTGGAAATTAATCTGTGCTCTTATTTCATCTATAAATACAAGATGTATACAGTGAGCAAAAGTGAATAAGTGTGATAGCAAAGAATGTTATCTAAGGGGGACCCCTTAGACCACTCTAACAAATACAAGAGTTAAATACATACAATGGTGGATCACACGTCTTGATGCGTCTAAAAAGAAACATAAAACCATATAGTGTAATATTGTCAATGTATATATAAATATGGATAATATAGAGATCATGTACTCACAAGCCTGGAGCCAAATAATATCATATGGCTCCCATGAGTAGCGCAATGGGACTTTTAAATGGGATGTCCCCGTCCGTCTTCTGGATGCTCTTGTAGTTCTCAAGCAGCATAGAAATAAAGCTGGACTGAGTAAATATGGTTTTATTGCATATCCTGAATAAAGCTCTTTGTGAAGAAATTACATTTACTCAGTCCAGCTTTATTTCTAACAAACGAAAACAACAATATATGTGAAGCTTTATTTCTATGCTGCTTGAAAACTACAAGAACTACAACTAGTGATGTCCCGAACGGTTCGCCACAAACGGTTCGCACGGACTCATCATTGAGTAAACTTTGACCCTGTACCTCACAGTCAGCAGACACATTCCAGCCAATCAGCAGCAGACCCTCCCTCCCAGACCCTCCCACCTCCTGGACAGCATCATTGTGAAGCTGCATTCTTAGTGAGCTGTCCAGGAGGTGGGAGGGTCTGGGAGGGAGGGTCTGCTGCTGATTGGCTGGAATGTGTCTGCTGACTGTGAGGTACAGGGTCAAAGTTTACTCAATGATGAGTCCGTGGCGAACCGTTCGTGGCGAACCGTTTGGCGAACCGTTCGGGACATCACTAACTACAACTACTAGGAGATTTCTCCTTTCTCCAATATCCGGGCATACGTAGTTTCACAGTCATTAAAATATGAACAACAAGATATAGCGCTGGTGTAGATAGACAAGGAAGGTCAAGATGAAAAAGAAAGCGCTCTAAAGTTAGATATCAATTTTCAAGTCTATAAAAAGTTTTGATTTGAGATGATTTAGTTTAAAACAATTTTACCATATATGTTTTAGTGAGCCAACATCTACATTACATCTCCACCATAGATGAGAAGTATTTGGTTGGAATTTACCCAGCTTATAGGAACCATATACCATCTATGTACAAGTTTAAAAAAGGTCTCCTGTATATTCACACAATGTATAAATGTCCCAATCGAATTGAAAGCATTTTCTCAAGTTTGGAAAGAGAAAGTTTTATCCATGTCTTTTTCCCATTCTTTAATAGATTTTATTTTCACATTTATATTTAGGGAATGTACAGCTTTCCTAATCTTGGAAGATAACTTTCCATGATCTCCAAGAATGAGCTTATCTAAAGATGATTCATTTATTATTAACATTTTACGTAAGAAAACTTCTATTCTTATATATGTGTATAGTTCTTTATCATCAAGATTTGATCTTATTTGTAGATCTAAAAACTTGCAGATTTTACCAGCATAATAAATATCTTTTATTCTTATTAATCCTGCATCTGACCAATAAAAGCTTCTTTATTGGCTCTACAGAATTAAAGAGGTCAGATACCCTGTTAGTCTGTTTGGAAAAGGGGAGAGATGTGACGAGACCAACCTCGCCACTGGTTGCCCGCCTGGTTGCCCACCTGCTGCCTTTAGACTATGGCCCCATGTTGAAACCCTTGATTTTCCCCTGCGAATACACGAAAGCCGGGTTATTCGGTGCTGGCCCTGTTTGAGCGGTGATACCCTAGATAGCTATGCCATGGAGCCCATTCGTGTAATGAAAGACTATGGGAAAGACTTTGGTTCCATGGCAATTGAACTGTATGTGTGTGCTCTGAGCGCCATTCAGTAATAATATGTGCTCAGATCTAAGCTATCTGGGGATATGTTGAATGTACCTGTTTTGTGCAATGGCTGCACAATTATATATTTTTGTGTTTTATTGTCTTTTGCTGCCATGTGTTCAATGGAGTTTTGCCTCTGTCCTTGGAGATAATGGGATTACCTCTGTGGAACTGGTTTTGAGCAGAAAAGCCATGCTTCATTTGGTTACAAAGGACTTTGATCTATCGTTTGAACCAATGGATCAATTTGGATGACATATGTTTGTATTTGGAGTATGCTGATTCTGAAAATGTAAGTTTTATGTGAATGTGATGCATACTTTTCAAGTTATGAATAATGTGGAAAAACTGTATTTCTCTGCCGGTGATAATTACATTACCCATTGTGTAAGGTAATTGTATCACAGGCAGAGGGAAGGATTTTGTGTGGGAGTGTCTGAGTGTATTGTATGTGTTTATTGGTTGTTTTCCAAAACCCTGTGGGTGGTACTAATGTGTATATAAGAACAATAAACCCACAGCTCTGACTGTTCCTGCTTGACCCTCAAAACGGAGCCTTGTCTCGTTCTTGGGGGGATTTATTGTATGCTGTTCCAGTTCGACTGCTAGGCGTGTAAACCTATTCATATGGTTTTTCCTATTCGGCTGTTTACGGCATTCATATGGTTTCCTGTTCAGCGGATTGGTGTTCTACTAAATGGCGGTTTAACCCTTTTATGCCTGCCGTTACAGAGTTATTGATCTTTTAACTTTTTCTTCTAGTAGAACTCTAATCTGAAACCACTATAATCTGTATATAGATTGACTGAGCTGAATTTTTTTATTACATTGTTCCACTTTTGCAAGTTGAATACAAAAATCTGCCAGATTTGCTCCTCTAGTTTTCTTGGTTTTTGCATGCATTTTAATTAAATACCCAAATGGTCTCATTATAAAACTAACCGTTATCATTTACCTTCAGAAATTCCTTTGCTAAATTTGTTAAATATTCTAGTTCTATTTTGCTCTGACAAGAGGATAGAGTTATCTAATTTCCTTTGCGGTCTAATTTTGAATTTGGGATTATTATCAATTGATACATTAAAGGTTGCATTATCTAACCAGACAATAGGGCCAATTTCCGAACTTGCAAATTTATTTAAATTTATTGATTCAGTTAAGAAGAAATCAATTCTTGAATAACTATGGACTTTAGAAAAAAAAAGTAAAAAAATTTTCTTTCGGGTGATGTACTCTCCAAATATCAAATAAATCAAAATTATTAAAAGTCTCAAGAAGCCATTAAGATCAAGCTTTATACAAATTTAACATGTGAGTAGAGATTTTAGAATTTTTATCTAGTTTGGCATCTAACATTGTATTCCAATCTTTGCCGATAAGTAAAATCCCTTTTTTGATTTTTCTAATTTTTCTGAAAATTTTCTTTAAAAATTAGTAGGAAAATTAATTAGGGGCATATAAATTTACAAGCGTGTATAGTGTATCATTCAACTTGCAAACAAGAATTAAAAATCTACCTTTCAATATGAATCTGTTCAAATTTGATTTTAGCAGAACATATAATAGCAACGCCTGTCTTTCTATAATCAACAACATTTGCACTTAAAATATAAGGGAATTTGGTGAATTTCCATACATTTTCCTCTCTCCTCCAATGAGTCTCTTGCACAAAGCAAAGATCAATTTCCCCTCTATTAATTATCTATACAAGAGGTCACGTTTTATTGGAGAATTTAAGCCATGAACATTGAGGCTATCTTAATTGACATTATTAATTAATTAGGTAAAAAGAAATAGAGCCTAAAGAGACTAAGTACTGGTAGATCGTGTAGAAATGGGGGATAACCCCAAAATAGTTAATTGGTAAATAGAAAGAAAAAAAAAAGAAAAAACTACCAGTAGGTGTCTCCTAATAAGATAGTATATCAGTCTCTCCTATGTCACAATAGGAGAGAATAAAACATAACTTTTAATGGGTATTGTCTAAAATTTGATAACACAAGAAGAGGTTAAAAACAAAGACCGTAATTTCCAGTCCTTTTTACAATATCTACTTTTGCTGAACCAGCACACAAAAAACTCTTAACTAGCTGCTAAACTAGCAGAACAAGATAATTGTATCAAAAGAAGGAGGACTAAGTGATGGAAAAAAGTATCTATTTACACAAATATATGCCTTGCAGGAAGGCAGTTGCCTTCTCAATAAGCTGTACTCTCCTGCAGAAAGAGTTCAATAAAATCCATAGAGCTGCCACTAATAGGTAGGATACATTACATGTGTAACACCTAGTACCCCCAAATTACAAAGTAAATGATTAACAAAATAGAGAGGTGCTGTAGGAGGAGGGTGAGTGGTATTCAGTGATAGTGACAGGAAGGAGTATAGCACGTTCCTATAGCTAAATGCAGCTGTTTGGTCTAATGAGCCTTTGTGGGCACCCCTTATTAAATGCCTGCTCTGTCACTAATCCCCCCACTAGATAGAAAACTCATGAATAAAAAAGAATTCGTATAAAAAATGGACTAAATATTTCAGTCACAGGATGCCCGTTTTCAGTGAGATAGCTGACAGAGTATCGGCAGTGCTGATCAAACACATGAGTATTGCCGACTGGTTGTCCTGAGCCCCTACAAGATAATTGTATCAAAATAAGGAGGACTAAGTGATGAAAAAAAGTATCTATTTACACAAATATATGCCGTGCAGGAAGGCGGTTGCCTTCTCAGTGAGCTGTACTCTCCTGCAGAAAGAGTCCAACAAAATCCATTGAGCTGCCACTAATAGGCAGGATATATTACATGTGTAACACCTAGTACCCCCAAGTTACAAAGTAAATGATTAACAAAAAAGAGAGGTGCTGTAGTAGGAAGGTAAGTGGTATTCAGTGATAGTGACAGGAAGGAGTGTAGCACGTTCCTATAGCTAAATGCAGCTGTTTGGGCTAACGTGCTTTCGTGGGCATCCCTTATTAAATGCCTGCTCTCTCACTAATCCCCCCACTTAGTGACAGAGCAGGCATTTAATAAGGATATTTATGAGGTGATAAATATTAAAATAATATTTTCATAAAAAATATCAAAAATTTATTTAATAATTTTTATTATATCAAAAATTGATAACTTGGCACTGTTTCCCCGATTAATTATTTAAAGCTGAGAATTACCCACTAAAAAAAGTCACTGGAGGGAATGCCTGCCTGCCAACGTCAAGGCAGACCTCCCTAGACAGGTCCTACTCTGACTCTTTATCTTGCTTCCTTGAGCTTCTGGCAAAAATATATGAGACAGAAAGGGGTATTTTTTATATACACGGAGGGATGCCTCCTCCGTGGAGTGAAGGAGGCATCCCTTCGCAGCGTTCTGTTGTGCATGCATTTTGTTAAGCGCCCTGATGGTATTATCCTTTGCTTCTCTACCTGGTATGAATCCGGTTTGGTCCGGGTGGATCAGGGTCGGTACCAGGCAGCTTATGTGATGTGCCATAATCTTCGTAAACAGCTTATGGTCGGTATTGAGTAAGGATATGGGTCTGTAGCTAGTCGGTATATAGTAAGGAGATGGGCCATAGCAGTCTTACCCTCCTTTGGTAAGACTGCTATGGTTGCCAGGAGAGTGTCCCCAGGGAACCGCCCATCCTCTAGTAGCGAGGTCAATCCGGTAAGCAGTTCCGGTAGTAGTATATCCCTGAAGGCCTTGAAATATCGTGCCGGGAGGCTGTCCGGACCCAGGGCTTTGTTTAGTTTGGTGGACTTCAGGGCCTCTGCAAGTTCACCCAGATTGATGGGCGAGTCGAGTTCCTCCCTTTGTGTTTGCGTCAGAGTTCGGGAGACGTGTTGTGTTAAGTACTCCTGCGTCAACGTTTGTCTCAGTCAAGTTGCCGTTTCATGGGTGTCAGTTCGCAGGTTGTATAGTGTGGAGTAGTACTCCCTGAATTCCTTCCTGAATTATCTTGTCGGGTAATTGGGTAGTGTGGCCCTCGCGTGATTTGGCATTGGCGCATTTGTTGGAAAATTCATAAAAGTAGTGGTTGGATTTGCGGAGCATGTGTTATAGTTTCTGTGAGAGCAGCTGTCGCAGGTCACGGTGAGCCTCCAGGAGGTCCCGGTAGGTAGCTTCTAATTGTGTGGTCTTATGGTCCTGTTCGAGTTGGGTGACTTTCATGTGTAGTTCTACCAGTTGCCTGCTATGTTCTTTCTTGCACGCGGTGCATAGCTTGATGAAGTGTCCTCTCGTTACACATTTATGAGCCTCCCAGCGGGTCAGTGGTGGAGTCTTGGTACAGGTATTTTCCTAGTGGCAAAATACCGTCCTGTTCTCCTCGAGGGCTACCTGGTCGTTTAGTAGTTGCTCATTCAGTTTCCACTGCCTGCCATTAGGTTTGTGAAGTGGCAAAGTTACTAGAACTGGGAGGGCTAGAACTGGTGAGTGGTCTGACCAGGTGGTGGTTAGGATGTCGCATGTTTGTAAGAGGGTTAAATATTCCTGCGAGATAAGGATGTAGTCAAGTCGGCTGTGTCCGTGGTGTACCGGGGAGAAATACGTGAAATCTTTAGAGTCTGGGTGTAGCACACACCAGCAGTCTGCTAAGCCCGCGTTTTGGAGCACTATTTTGGTGGCCTTGAGACAGGTCGTTTGGTGGCCTTGAGACAGGACCCTTGGAGGTATCGACCCTTGAGTCTACAGGGACGTTCAGGTCCCCTGCCAGGACCAGAAGTCCCTTACTGAAGTGCTTTAGGAGCTTTAAGGTTTTGGAGATGAAGCGGTGTTGTTGAGAGTTTGGGGCATAGATTGAGGCAAAGCTGTAGTGGTTGTCTGCTATGGTGACTTTTAGGAATAAGTATCGTCCATACGGGTCCGCCCTTCCTCGATGCAAATGAAGGGCACATGTTTGGCGAAGAGTATGGCCACCATGGCTTTCCTGGAGTCCCTGTGGTTGGAAAAGTATCCCGTTGGGTACCTCTGATCGCGTAGAACAGGGCCAGCTGTTCCCCTAAAATGGATCTCCTGAAGGAAAGCCACCGAGGCTCTGGATGCCCAGAGGGAATGTAACAGGTGCGACCTGCGTTCCGGGGCATTTAGGCCCCTGACGTTGTTGGACCACAGGCGTACGGCACCGGGGCAAACCCCCCGGGGCCCGGGAAGGCCTTGAGGACCAAGACAGCAGAAGGGGGGAGGGGAGGGGCGGCAGTGGGCGATATAGGGACAGCAGGCGGGGAAGGGGAATCGGGCACGAGAGCAAGTGAGTCCGTGTGACATGTAAGGTCAGTTGTGGTGTAAAGGGGTAGGGGACATCCGGATTGACGGTCGTGTTCAGACTGGACGGTATAACTAGGTACAGTGTCAGACTTGACTGTCTAGGTGATTGAGTTGGTAGGGGCAATCCCGGCCCAATATATATGTCCCTGACCGTCACCCAATCCTCACAGTCTATCTATGGAGGCGTGTGCGGCCTGCACACTCAGGTTATTAAATGAGGCGGGTGAGTCAGAGATCTCGCCTTCAAGGGTTTCTATGACTCATCTATCTAGGTCAGCATCTCCCCCACCCCCCACGGGCCCATGACATCCTCATAACAGTGTTTTCCCAAGAAAGGGCTGGGTCTGAGCTCCTGGGGTTCCAACGTGTGTAATCCCGTCAGGTGGCTACAGGTTGGGTGCTGATGTTTGTGAGTCCCCAGGACCCCCATCTGCTTACCATGGGTACCCCCACCCCCACCTGCAGCCCACCCGGGCACAGCCAATACCATTTATATGTGTGTCCCCCGTCCCACCACCCACCGGCCCATGTCCCCCGGGCCGTCCCAACCCCAGGCCCCGAAAGTGCATGAGTCCAGTGTCCAATGGCAGTCCCACACATCCCTCCCCCCCACAGCGCCAGGGTCCCTCTACTCCACCCAAGACCCCGGAGCTCCTATTCTAGCTATTATCTATGCTAACCCGTGCGAACAGGGGTAGGAGGGTGGAGAGGACGAGGAAGGACAGGCAGTCCCGGTGACAACAAGGTCCCAGATGAGGTGGGAGCCCCCCACAGCCACCCGCTGAGGCAGGAGGGCAGGCCCCACATATGCATGTCTTCTTGCCTCCCTCCCCACCTGAGTTTATCTGGTCCCCCTGTTTTTTTAAGGGCATATGCAGCTCCCGCCCCAGGCAAGTCCCCAGTACCTTGCAGTCCGACCGCCCCCCAGGCCGCGGATTCTCCTCTGGTGCGACTCATTATTAAGCCCCTCCCGTGCCTCCCCACATCCGTGGTGTGTGTGCTCACTCTCTCGGGGCCTCATATTGCCGAGCCCCTTCATCTGGATCAGGTCATGGAGCTAGCGGGGTGTCCAAGAGCCAGTTTCGGATGTGGAGACTTGGTAGGTGGAAAGCTCTCACTACCCGCGGGACGTCGTCTGGCCATCTCACGTGGAGCCAGGAGTTCCCCTGTTTCACTTGGAGGCTGAAGGGGAACCCCCACCGGTGAGGAATGCTCTTGTCACGCAGGGTTGCTGTCAAGGGCCGGCGCGTTCGTCTTGCGTCCAGGGTGAGGCCCGACAGGTCCTGGTAGAAGACGACTTCGGCTCCCCGGAACACAATGCTCTCCGATCTACTGGAGGCCGCCATCAGCTTTTCCTTCAGGCTGTATGCATGTAGGCAACACAGGACATTCCAGGGCCTTCCATACGGTCTCTGCAGCCCCAGTGTCAGGTGCGCCCGGTCCAGCTGGATCTCTTCTGGGCATTCACGGCCCAAGATCTGTTGAAAGAGGGCCTTAAGTGTCTCGGCTAGTGGGGCAGTGTCCGGTTCCGGCAGACCCCGGATTCGGATGTTTTGTCGGCGGCTCCGATTCTCCAACTCTTCTTGTTGCCGGAGGGAGAGGATCAGGCTCCCCTGTCGGGTAGTTGCCAGTTCAGCTGCTTGGCGTTGCATGCGGCGTGCCTGGGCTTCCGTCTCGAGCGCCTCCACTCTCACTTCCACGGTCCTCTCTAACCGCTGCCCAGAACTCTTGTAGAAGGCCTCCAGTGTCAGCTTTGGTGAGCATGTGTGTAGAGATCATGGCCAATTCTTGTTTAATTTGTGCCAGAGTGTCATCTTGTGCGCTATCCAGGAGTGAGCCTCCCGCGCTTTCTTGGCTTGGTGACTCGGGCCCCATATTGTCTGGCGGTCGGGAGGTGCCTTGTGTGCTCGGGGTAGACATATAATCATCTAGTGTGCCTGTGTGGTGGTGTGGGGAGCCCCCCTGGGCATGGGGTTTCTTACTCCTCACCATTTTGCTGCGGGAGAAATGCTTATTTTTAGCTATTAGTGGTCAGGGGTGAGGTGCTCAGATTCTATGCGTCCTGTTGCATGCTCTGTCCGGCAACACCCCTCCCAATAAGAGTAATTCTAATCAGATTTTATGTTTGCAGAATTTTAAGTTCCTTAATTAAGATTCACTATTTCTAAATTACATAAGCTAATATTTTTGGATAATTGCCTGGTATTCTATTTTTAAAGTTAAAAATAAAATAGAGTTCATTGGTCCACCTGCAGGAGTGGAATTCTGAATTCCATATATTATTAATGAATCAGTACTCCTTAAATGTTGGAATCACCAGCTTTTATCCAAGTATATTCTGCCTTTTAGTAAATTCAATTAATTTAATTTAATTAAATAAAAACTAGCATAATTACCAGTTAGGTGGTAGATTTTCTATCAGATGTGTAGATATGTCCCAGGAATTTTGAATGCAAGTATGATGAGAGAATTGTATGGAAATATATAAAAGTTTTTCAGTTCTGAAGTTGTGTTAGTTGCAAAAGATACTAAGAATTAGGTGTGTCCAGCTTTGGCTCCAGATGTCAGACCTTAGATGTTAAGTGTGAGTTTGAGTGAGTGTGAGAGATTAAGAGTCTTTGAGTGTCCGTATGAATCCCAAAGAGTTTGAGAGTGGGAGTCTTGAGTCCAGTCCAAGAGTCAGAATGTGTTCTCTCTTCCCTTTGTCCTTCATTTTTTAACCCCTTAAGGACACATGACATGTATGACATGTCATGATTCCCTTTTATTCCAGAAGTTTGGTCCTTAAGGGGTTAAAGGACTAGTACCCTACACATCACTAGTTAATAGTAACCAATAGCGAACTGTGGGCGTGTCTTCTCTACACACTATCATCTAGATTTTGGTCAGTAGATGGCGCAATTACATCACCAAAAATTCTTGTCAGGGGGTCCATTTACCTTTTTGTATAATGGGTATAAACTGAATTTCGTGATGCGTTTTACGTCATTTTCGTCATCTCTTACGGCTACTATTCGTCACAGAAGCTGTCATCTTCAAAGGCTTGGGTTTATTTTCAACCAGCCAGAGCATCTGGTTTATACCTTTAAATTTAGATTTCTGACACGTCTTAAATTCTTTTTCACCTCTCCTTACAATGGAACTAGTTTTTTTTTTTTAGAAAGTAAAATGAATTGCTTTGTATTATCTGTCAGTAGGTGATCCTGTCTGGTTTTCTTGTGTGAAACTGTAGTTAAGATTACACATATTCCACTAACATTAGTAAATAATATGGCATTTCTTCATTGATATTCTATCCATGAATATTCTATATTATTAACATAGTATAATTATATATGATTAATATAATAATCATAAATTATATGTGGATATTGTGTGTGTGTATCTATCTATCTATCTATCTATCTATATATATATATATATCTCTGGGTTGTAGCATTCAACCCCCCTTTTGCTGTTAGACATCATGGCTTAGCTCTTGTCTTGTTTACATAAGTCGCATTCCTTAGCTCAGACATGAATGAATAGAGTTACAGAGAGAATTTGTGTCTGTCTTAACCTTGTAATACAAAATGGAGTCACCTCTGTTCTGATGGTGACATACAGTATAAACTTTTAATTTCTATCTTAACACAAAATGTCTGCCAGTATAAATATACTGACAAAATGGGAAAAATTCCATGGAAGTAGCCCTGAGAAAGGTAACATGAAAAAAACATTATACAAAAAAACACAGACGAAGATATTAAAAAATAATCAAAATACATAATCTCAGGCACATTCAGTTGCTGGTGACTGTTCAGTAGAGAGAGATAACACAAGAAAGTGAGCTAAGATTATTGTGAATAGATTAAACAACCAGAAGCAGTATTAGTAATAATATATAGGTCTATTATATCATTCTGTTTACACCCTCAGAGGTTCTACATTTTTAATCTCTAAGGTATGTGGCGGAACCAACCTCGCCACTGTCCACCAAAATTCACCCAGATCGGACCAGGGGTTCGGGAATTATGGAGGGTTAAAGTTTTGACCGACTGCATTGCAAAAGTATCCGAAAATAGTTCCATGTATTTTGGCCCTGCAGTTGGTCACAGAAAAGGGAATGAAAACACACGAATTGCCTGGGTTATAGAGCCTGGGGAGGGTTTGAATGAATTCCCTTGTTCGTGGGGTTCTTTCTACCGAACGGCGGGTCATTTGGTAGTTTCTACACAAATTCATGGAAGTCTGGAGTTCTCAGCGGTGTTTGCCTAGTTCCAGATAGTGTCCGATTTTAGTTCCAGATACTCGACGGCAAAACACCGCTGTTTGGGAGTTTAAGATGGCCGCCGCCACATGTTCGTTTCCCGAATGGCGGCCACCCAGAGGACAAAACCACTCATTACACTCATTAATCCTGGGTGGTCTGGTTGTTCGGTAGTTTCACTCAATATAATGAATGGAGTGATTCTACAGAACAATCAGCGAATGCTGCATACACATAACACCGTTTACCGAACACATAATATGAAAGACAGCCTGAATGCAATCTGCTACACAGTCTTAAAGGGCATTGTTCCTAAAAGTCATAATATGTCCACGGATGGCCCTTAAAGGGCCAGTAGCAGCAATATAAAATACCAGATGCCCAAATATTGCATTCAAAAGTACAAATTTACCATGGGCCATAGTCAGCAGGTAGGAGGCAGCAGCCAGGCCTCTCCAATGTCCAGTGGCGAGGCGGCTTCCGCCACACCCAAGCTACAGGGAGTACGGACAGTCGGTCCTGCTCCCCAGCGGCAGAGTATTCTACCAGGAGGGGAGAGTCTCGTTCCCCCTCCCCAGCGGCATCATAGCCCACCAAGGGGAGACACTAAGCCCCCCATCAGCGCAGATGGAACCGTTGTCTCTGCACCCAAGCTACAGAGATTATGGACAGTCGGTCCTGCTCCCCAGCGGCAGAGTATTCTACCAGGAGGGGAGAGTCTCGTTCCCCCTCCCCAGCAGCAGCATAGCCCACCAAGCGGAGACACTAAGCCCCCCATCAGCACAGATGGGACCGTGGTCTCTGCGCCCAAGCTACAGGGAGTACGGACAGTCGGTCCTGCTCCCCAGCGGCAGAGTATTCTACCAGGAGGGGAGAGTCTCGTTCCCCCTCCCCAGCGGCAGCCTAGCCCACCAAGGGGAGATGATAAGCCACACCGGTGCAGATGGGACTGTGGTCTCTTTGCCCAAACCACAGGGTGTAGGGACAGTCGGTCCTGTCCCCCTGAAGCAGGGCTGGTTATCCAAAGGGGAGACAGCCTGTCTTCCCCTCCAGCAGCAGCCCCAGGTCCGGAGTAAGGAACCTACTACGCCGTTCCCTCACCTGAGCTCCAACGAGGCTACTCCCGTGGTAGTACCCCCCAGAGCCGAGGTGGAGCTCCTGGACCTGGACAAGCGACCCACTACTCCAGGTGTAGTAACCAAATTTCGTGGGTGGGTTATACTGCGGATTCTGTTTTGTGAGTGGGTTGCTGGACTAACCAAGGCACTCACCGACAGGAGGCCAGATACCTTGTTAATCTTTTTGGGAAAGGGGAGAAATGTGGCGAAACCAACCTCGCCACTGGGTATTGGAGAAGCCTGTTTGCCCGCCTCCTGCCTGCTGACTATGGCCCTGGGAGATTTGGTCCTTTAAATACTGTATTTGGGCATATTGTATTTTATTATGCTGCTGCTGGCCCTTTACGAACTATCTGGGGACATACTGTGGAGTTACTGGGTGGCCATCATTTCATGTATCAGAGGCACATGGTGAGAACAATGGATGAAGCACATGGTGAGAACAATGGATGGCGGCCATTTTAACTCACAGACACTGTTTGGACTTTCTACACAGTGCCATCTCGCCAGTATTTGGTGCACGAAGACATCGTTCAGTAGTTTTAAACTATACAACAGGGGACACATTATACAGTAATTATTTTTCTTATAGCCTGTATATGTTCTACGGAATCTGCATTAAACTGCATCTTCCAAACTACTGAACGGATCTGGGTGAATTTTGGATACGTGGTTCACCCAGTTCCCCCGGTTCCGAGGATATACTTTTTATGGGGACAGTTATTGCATGTTTTGGGCTCCCTGTGATATGTTTTATAATACTGTATTTCTCTGCCTGTGATAATTAGATTAACTGTTGTGTTCAGTAATCATATCACAGGCAGAGGGGAGGATTTTGTGTGGGAGTGTCTCTGTGTATTGTACGGATTGATTGGCTGTGTTTCAAAACCCTGTGGGCAGTACTATATTTGTGGATTGTAAATAAAAGAGGCTGTATGTGCCAGTCCAGTCAGTTCTGCTTGACCTCAAAACGAAGTGTCGTCTCTTTATTGGGGGAATTGGATTGTATGCTGATTGCCAGGAGTGTAAGCTGATTGTATGCTTTTCCTGTTCAGCTGCTTACAACATTCAATCCAATTTCTATTTCTCTAATTTCTTGTCTTGATTTTTCAAGTTTGTCTTCTTCATAGCCTTTTTCCATAAAATCTTGTTTAATTTTTGTGTACTGCATTTCGAATGTATCCAAGGCTATGCAATTTCTTTTAATCCTTAAAAATTGTCCTCTCAGGGCGTTTTCTAGCCAGGACGAGAAATGGCAACTTTCCCTTCCTATAAAACTATTACTGTCCACAGTTTTAAAATGAATTCGTATTTTAATAAAATTATTTTCAATATATATGTGTAAATCTAAAATAATCACTCCCTGTTTACTCCAGTTACTGGTCAACTGTATCCCCCATGTATTGCAGTTGAAATACTTTAAGAAGGCAGATAGATCCCCTTCTTTCCCTTCCCATATGAAGATGTCATCTATATAATGGCCGTAGGTGACCATGTTCCCCACCCAGCTATGTTGCCCATAGATAAAATAATTTTCCCAATGGGCCATAAATAAATTAGCATAGCTGTGGGCAAACTTGGTCCCCATGGTCGTACCCTAAGTCTAAAGAAAAAACTCCTCATTGTACCAAACAAAGTTGTTATTAAGGATGAGTTCTATCCCCTCCAGAAGAAATTCAATCTAAGTAGGTGGTTAATCTGAGGAATTATACAAAAAAAAATTTACTGCTTCATGTCCATATGTATGTGGGATATTGCTATATAAAGCCTGTGACAAGGAAGCAATTTTCATTCCACATACTTGTTTCTAAAAGATTTTTAAACCATCATCGTCTCTTTAATATATGCTTTTGTATTCATCACTATGGATTGCAAATGAACATCAACATATTGTGACAGTCTACTAGATATAGCGTCAACTTCTGCCACAATAGGTCTTACAGATGGGTTGTTAGTGTCCTTATGCACCTTAGGAAGAAAATAAAATACTGGAATTTTTGGGTATAAAATATTTTAAAAATTAAATTCTTTCTGATTTAAAACTTCTAAATTTAACCCCTTAAGGACAGATGACGGAAATATTCCATCAGGATTCCCTTTTATTCCAGAAGTCGTGTCCTTAAGGGGTTAAGCCTTTGTTAAAACATTTTATAAAAATTTGGTTAATTTCATTACTTGGATTGGTGTTACGTTTTTTATACGTGTCTTCAGCCATTAAATTTTTACTGCTTCTTTAAGGTAAAACTCTTTAGACATTAAAACCGTCCCCCCCCCACCCCCCCCTTTGTCTGCCGGTGTAATAATTAGATCAGGGTCTTTTAGTGCTTTTCGTTCTTGTATAGTAAGATTTTGTTTAAAATCTTCTTTCTTTTCTACATTTTTTATATCCGTCATGACCATAGTTTCAAATGTTGTCATTTTTTCGAAAATCATCTGTTTAGGATAAAATTGTAATTTTAATTTTAAGTTAGTATATTTATTTTCTTCATTGTCTAGTTGGTGTTCTATCAGATTTTTGAGGATAATTTTTTTAAAACATACATTTCTTTTGAATCTGTTTAAGTCGACATAAAAATTGATTTAGAGGTTTATTTGGAATTTAAGCCCTTTTCTTAGTAGTTTTTTATGATTTTCTGTGAGTACTTTATTGCTAAGATTATGAATTCCTTTCATTGATGTTAATTCCTGTGTGGTCTGTGTTTTCCTCCTCTTGTGCCTCTTTGCTTGAATCTCTCCTTCTTTTGGAATATATTGTAGTTTTCAGATCTTCTTCCCTCTTGTGTCTGTCTTTGCCTCTGCTCCTCCAAAAATCCTGGTCTTCAAACTCCTCAAATACCTGGAAACGATTACATACTTTTTTTCCTGCTATCACAAAGAAGGAATGTGGTCCTTAACCACATATGCTACTTGATTTGAGCCTATTAGAAGGCTCTGAGTTTGTGAGTACCTAATTACACTTTACTATTACCCATATAAAAATCAACAATATCACACTGTTTCCTTTATACCAACTCCCTAGGACAGAACCCTAAGAAAATCTGAATATAAAGGAGGGAAAGGCCCTAAAGCGCATAAACTTGAGCTAAGATTTTAGCTCATAAAATTGTGAGTTGTTACTTGGCATTATACCTCACATTAGATTTGTACTAAACAGTTTACACTATGATTTGTATTTTTGTTTTCTGTTTAAAGGCATAATACAGAAATATTGACACTCCTAAGTGAGAAAACTATTTTAAAGGTATATTCCTTTATATTGGGCATTTAACAATATCACTATAAACTGTTTCTAGTTATTATCACTTTTTAGCGCTTTACCGAGACACTCCTCATCCTCAATTGAGAGATAAGGAATATGAAGGGATCATGGTATTCCCTTTGGCTACTAGCACAGATAGAAGACATTTTAAAGACCTAACATTACAACATTACAACTAAGATCAAAAACTATAAGCTATATATGGGGGTTTCCAACTAAATTAATAATCTTTCACAATGGGAAAAATGTATTTGTAGATGACCCTTTGGAGGATGTTCCTATACTAAAAAATGCTGCTTCCTACCTCTCCCAAAATAATTGGGTTATTATATTTAAAGCTAGCTTTCTCTTCTTTTTGAGAGTGTCTTAATACGTATTAGACGAAATATTATAATTTATCTTCTAAGTGCTGGATAATTATATTATCACTACTTAAATTTGATTTGCACTTTAATTGAAATAAATTAAGAGTATGTATATAGTGATATAGAGTGAGATCACACTCCATATCACTATATTTAAACACAGTATGTATTTGAAGAGTGAAATATTAACTTTGAACACATAGTAAGTATTTAGCCTCTATTAGAGATTTTGATAAAACACATCATGATTAATTTAGACTATAAATTCCTTCTTTTTTTTTTGGGTAACAGACACCTTTTAGATTCACATAGGCAACAATTAGAGTCTTCCTATTTAATACTGGAAGCAACTCTATATTTACTAATTTAGAATTAATTTTCTAAGCTATAATACAGTATTTGATAGATTTGTTTTTTACCACTTTTTGTTCACAAACCGAATAGAAATTTATTATAGCAATCTACTAACAATGTTTTATTGTATTTGGATGTACTGATATTATTAATATAACAATAAGTAGTTAGTGGTAGAGTTGGAATGATAACTTCACTTGAACCTTTGTACTTTAAGTTTATTATTCTTCACAAACAATTGTATTTATTATTTTTAATATAAAAATCAATACATAATTACAATGTATACTCTCTTGATATATGGAGCTATTATAGGTTAATTGGCTTGCTTTTATATAATATACCTTGTAACGGATCACCTGGCACCCCGACCGGGTACCTCAGTTGAAGGATGCTCCTAGCACTTCCTGAGGACTCCAAGCACTGTAGCAACACCACAACCAACGAACATTAAATTTCATCTGCCATTTGCGTGCCCAGTCCCCCAGTCTATCTAAATCCCTCTGCAGAAAAGTAATAGCTTGCTCACATTGTATTATTTTACAGAGTTTTGTGTCATATGCAAACACCGAAACATGACTTTCAGTGCTTTTTTCAAGATCATTTATAAACATGTTAAATAGAAGGGGTCCCAGAACATAACCCTGAGGGACACCACTTGCCACCTCTGTCCAGCTCAAAAATGTGTACTCTATTTCTATCCAAGAACAAGCATTTTCATCTAGACCGATTTCCTTGAGTTTGAACACTAATCTATTGTGTGGAACTGTATTAAATGCCTTGGCAAAATCCAAATAGATCACATCCACTGCAACACCCTGATCTATACTTC